GCATCATACCCATGCTCTAGGGTTTCACCAAAGTGGTTAACGTCTGAGACCTGCATCACTTCAGGCTTTCCTCCCACATTTAGTTAACATGCCATGATATATCTGGAATACTGTTCAAAGCAGCGTTAAACTCACTCACTCATGAAAACGAAACACCTGTGTATCACTTTTTTAGTATATGCTGATCTTGTGAAATAATGTTATTACTGCAGGCGATATTTTTATTGGAATGCATGTGAAAGTATCATAGTAAAATATTAAATTGTTCCCTTGTCTGTTTCCTACTCAACAAGCAGTGGCAAGACAGTGAATAAACAGTTCTCTGTGTTCTGGAGAGTATAAAGTTGCTCTTTACAGGGATGGGCAGGGAGTGTGGGCGTGGGTGTCGTATGGAACGTCATGTGTATTTGGGTGTTGGACAGGTGGCAGGGGTATGCTCTAGGGCTGGCTAAAATGATGGATAATCTGAATTAACATCGATGGGAAGAAGTATTAACAAAAATCGATATGAAATTGTTGTCATCAATAATAATTTTAGATTTACCGAAACAGACTTGTTATTGTTAATAATGTCAGATGTCGAAGAGAGAAAGCAACTGTTTTTGTTACATCTCAAATGTACACACTGCTCACCAGTGGCATAAAATGAGTTGGTTTCTTTCGGGACTTTCTTGGGGCGGTCGGGTAGCCTAGTGGTTAAAGCGTTCGCTCGTCACCCCGAAGACCCGGGTTCGATTCCCGACATGAGTACAATGGGTGAAGCCCATTTCTGGTGTCCCCCGCCATCATATTGCTGGAATATTGCTAAAAGCGGCGTAAAACCATACTCACTCACTCACTCGGGACTTTCTTGCATATTTGCTTAAAGTTACTTCTCGGATATTATCGTTAATTGATCTATGTTTATTTAGCGATTTTCGATCTCAGTTGTTTCTATCGATAGCCAGCCCTAGTATGCTCTACAGTACATTAAATTCTCTTTGGAGGTTTTGTCTTGAGGAAAGCTTGTATTGGAAGTTGTGTCTAAAGGAAGCCTTTGATGGAATTAAGGCTTGCTTACCCAGCTCAGAATCTATACTACTCAAAGAAGTATAGAATGCCCAATGTTTTCATATGACTATAGTTAATCCGTCCTGGCTGGTGGTATTGCAACAAAGCCTTCTAGTTGGGGGTTCCTTAACTTGTTTTGAGTAGAATATATTGAAATAACATTTCAAATCTACCTGTTTTTCTGCATTTTTGGCAGTCTCCCAGACAAAAATAAAAGATTAATAGAGGCATGTGAACAAATTGTTTTCCCTATTGTGAATGAGGTATCTCGCTCAGCTTGCTACACAGGGAATATGTCTGCTAATTACAGGTATAATTAGCTGGCCATCTGTCACGCTCGTGCATGACGGTGAGTGTGATCTGAGTGCAGCAGCGAGCCATGTCTGGAACTAAATGCCTTTCATGCAGCGTTGGTTATGCATGCACAGCAGGTTGTTGTGTGCTGGTTGTGGGACAACTAATTACCCAATGAAACGTTTGTTCATTTCAACTTGAACAGTTTACTTCTGGTCACCGATGTTGTGAGGCCCTACTGAATTTGCTTGTTTCATGGATTCTGTTTGTTAAGATACTACTCAACCTTTGCTGTGGACCACATCTTTGACCAAACATGACTATTGTCATGACTGTTTCATGGATTCTGTTAGTTCACATACTACTCAGCATTTGCTAAGGTCCACACCAAAGATGACTATTTTGGTCCTTAAGCAAATGTTGAGCAGTATGTCAGAATGCTGAGGGGAGACATTTTTGCATTACAAGTACAGACAGTGAACAATAAAGTTTAATATATTTTTTTTTAAAGGACAATAGATCATGAGGCTGTTACTTTTTCCTAAAAACTGATCTCTAATTAATTAGAGAATAGCTTTAAAGAAAGTACTTAATTACCTGTCCTGATCGAAGACGTTTTGTGAGTCACAGCGCACTGGTACAAGATCAGATGAAGTAAAGCAACATTGGTCGTGTAGAGGAGTTGGATTGGTGAGCGTGGTTATAGTTGAAGTACATCTCACACAGGCAAGTAACTTTTGTGAAATATGCCTCTGTCCACAAGCAGTGAATGGGTACCCGGCAGGAAAAGATGGTAATGTGACTGTTACCTTATAGCACCTCACAGACAGCATAGTTGTAGACACATGTTCGTAGCGGCTATTTTTAGACTGACAAAAACGCAGGGATGGGGGTGGGGGTCTTTAGACAAGTAGTAAGTAATTTATTTTCGCAAGTGTATCGCCTTGTATCAATACAGAACAAAACCTATCGTGTTTTGTATCATCGCATGAAAACATGATGTACTGATGCATCGTTTCATTCCTAGTGACAGGTTGATTGCGTGTCATCATTTCCCAATCGTTGAAATGATGGTCATGCTGTCAGTCACTGGATTGTCTGATCCAGACTCCATTATTTCTGCCACAGCTGGAATATTGCTGAGTGGGGCGTTAAACAACTAAGAAACAAATCATGCTATCAACTGGTTTGACTAGATTTACAATCCAGATTGATATGGCGGTAATTTTGATAATGACAAATGTTGATGAATATATGTCGAGTATGTGTGTGTTCCTGATAAATATTCCATGAATACAGCAGACATTCCAGCATACCAGTCATTATTTGTCTTGTCCAACATTGTTGTTTGTGAAGATGTGTGTGTAGTTTCGTTTCATTTTAAGCGGACCGCCTCCATGGTCTAGTGGTAGAGCATCCGCCCGGAGAGCGGAAGGTCAGGGGTTCGATCCACGGCCGCGTCATACCAAAAGACATTAAAAGATGGTACTTGTTGTTACCCTGTCTGGCGCTCGGCATTAAGGGGATAAAACAAGGACTGGTCAGCTCGGAGTCAGTATACTGTGTCTGAGTGGGGTATTCATGTTAAACTGCGGCATGGTATCTCAGTGAGCTAGCACTATAAATCGGCATCAGTCCGGACTAGCACAAGCAGCCACACAAACACACATACGTGCATGCACATCGCTATATAAGTGCAATAATCTTGGACGTGACGTTAAATCCCATTTCACCTCACCTCACCTCATTTTAACGCTCATGAGTTGTTGTTTTTAGGGGGGGAAAATATCACAGTACAGGCAGTGAAAGAATTTGTTGCCCAAGTTGACTAGCCAGGAGGGCTTGTTACAAACTATGTTGCAGGCTCTTATCCTATTTTACCGGTCCTACTTTATGGCTACAGCCTACATACTTTGACTTAACTTTAATTTGTTCTGTGTGTTTAAGACCATTACGCTGAACAGCGACAAAACTGCTTGGCTGCTTGTTACTATACATTTTTCTGAACCCATGAAGATCCGGGGTAGAATAGGTCTTCAGCAACCCATGCTTGCCGTAAAAAGCGACTATGCTTGTTGTAAGAGGCGACTAACGGGATCGGGTGGTCAGGCTTGCTGACTTGGTTGATGCATGTCATCGTTTCCCAATTGTGTGGATCGATGCTCATAATGTCAATCACTGGATTGTCTGGTCCGATTATTTACAGACTGCTGTCATATAGGTGGAATATTGCTGAGTGTGGCGTGAAACAACAAACAAACAAATAAACAAACATTTGTCTGACGTTTATGGTGGTTCTCCGACTTTCACTCACATTGCTAATAACACATGTGCATATCAGTCATAATCAGTGTACAGCAAGGAGTCAGTTTAGTACTTCATGTGGGTTTCTGATAAACTACGAAATGAAAACAAAATGACAACAGACCTTTGACATTAAATGATGCGGACTTGAGACAGTTTTACAGAAATGTTACTAGCCCAGGGTAAAAGTCACTTGCATTTGGCTAGTGGGCAGGTAGTTATTTCATCCCTGAGTACAGGCATTAAGATTTTATGTATGTGATATTTATAAATATATATCACACACTATAGTTTAGTGCACACTATAATATTAGTGTTAGAAATAGGCACTAGTCCTGTAACCCTTGCCAAACTGCCCAATAATTAAGGTATCATAAGAACTAGTAGAAATTTGCCCCATTTAAAGGTTTTGCTATATTTTATCATTATAAGGACTAGTGGACTAAAAATGTTAATTTCTGCCTCTGTATTAATTATATATGGGTCATGTCCTTGTTCAATGTGTATGTCTTGGAAGTGCATTGGTCTTTCCCAATATCATTACAGTGGCACTCCCCCATCAGTGATGTCAGTGTTACCTGGTGTGGCACTCCCCCGCTTCCCTATCAGTGATGTCAGTGTTACCTGGTGTGGCACTCCCCCGCTTCCCTATTAGTGATGTCAGTGTTGCCTGGTGTGGCACTCCCCCGCTTCCCTATCAGTGATGTCAGTGTTACCTGGTGTGGCACTCCCCCGCTTCCCTATCAGTGATGTCAGTGTTACCTGGTGTGGCACTCCCCCGCTTCCCTATCAGTGATGTCAGTGTTACCTGGTGTGGCACTCCCCCGCTTCCCTATCAGTGATGTCAGTGTTACCTGGTGTGGCACTCCCCCATCAGTCAGTGTAACCTGGTGTGGCACTCCCACGCCAGTGATGTCAGTGTTACCTGGTGTGGCACTCCCCCGCTTCCCTATCAGTGATGTCAGTGTTACCTGGTGTGGCACTCCCCCATCAGTCAGTGTAACCTGGTGTGGCACTCCCACGCCAGTGATGTCAGTGTTACCTGGTGTGGCACTCCCCCATCAGTCAGTGTAACCTGGTGTGGCACTCCCACGCCAGTGATGTCAGTGTTACCTGGTGTGGCACTCCCCCATCAGTCAGTGTAACCTGGTGTGGCACTCCCACGCCAGTGATGTCAGTGTTCCTTGGTGTGGCACTCCCCCATCAGTCAGTGTAACCTGGTGTGGCACTCCCCCACCTGTGATGTCAGTGTTGCCTGGTGTGGCACTCCCCCGCCAGTGATGTCAGTGTTACCTGGTGTGGCACTCCATCAGTGATGTATCTGTGATAGTAATGTCGTTGTTTGTTTGCAGATATCAAGAGAGGAAGCCATTAACCTTTCACCTACCTCACCAGCCAGTCTTGCAGTTAAAGGTAATCGTTTGGACGATGGTGGAGGGGGACAGGGGATGGAGGAGGGGGCTGGGGTTTGGGGAGGGGGTGGAGGGGACAGGGGGTGGAGGAGGGGACAGGGGGTAGAAGAAGCGGAGGGGACAGGGATGGAGGAGGGGACAGGGGATAGCAGAGGGGGTTGGGGGACAAGACGGGGGTGGAGGAGGGGACGGGGTAGAAGAAGCGGATGGGACAGGGGTGGGGGAGGGGATGGAGGAGGGGACAGGGGGTAGTAGAGGGGGTTGGGGGACAGGATGGGGGTGGAGGAGTGTGTAGGGGAGGGACAGGGTTGGGGGAGAAGATGGGGTGGAGGAGAGGGAGTGGGTTGTGGAGGCAGGACGGGGGTTGGGAGAGGGGGGACAGGGGTGTGGAGAAGGGATGTGGGGTTGGAGAAGGGGATGGTTTGGAGGCGGCAGACGGGGGTTGGGAGAGGGGGCTGTGGGGGTGGAGGAGGCAGGACAGGGGATTGGGCGACAAGTTGACTGTCAGTGTGATCATACAAAGAGTGCGAAACGCCGGTGTCATTATGTTTCAAGTGTGGGAGGCGTTAAGAAAATAAAATTTAAAGTTCAAACGTTCTTCCTGTTGATGTTTCAGAAGTAAAGATGATATTGCTGGAAAAGTGTTTCTCCAATACACAGCATAAACAAACGTCTTCTGGGAAAATGAAAGTGTAGCTGAAAGTGCACCTAATGACTGAGTGCCAAGTTTCTTTGGATTTGATCATTTAGAATTACAAGCAAACTTGTTTGGCGGTGAAGCAATCTTTTTTGCAAAGTGTAATGTCTTTTGTCAGATGTGGAATTTGCCAAATGATTTTAAAAATTGCTTTTGTAGGGAAGAATGTATGGGCATTGCCTGTCCCCCCCTCACAGATGCCACCGCCCTCTGCAGGAGGGAAGGGGAAGGGAGACAACTCTGGCAGCAGACATGGCAAAAGTTGTGATAAGCACTCGTCTGTGGTAACATGTCGCCACAAGAACCCGCTACACAAATGTATTCTCTGTGATACGAACTCCGGCATCGCACCACCGAAGAAAAAACACTGCCGATCTCTCTCAGTGCCGGTTGACTCCATGACATCATCTCCATGGCAACCAGATGGAACCAAACTTTGGCGACCAATAGCTGTGATTCCGTTGACAAACAATAATGTAGATCAGCAGAACAGGAACATAACGTCCCGTGTTCCTGAGTTCAAGCCCACATGTAGAAATGTGACAAACTTTACCCGGTTTGTGTCGTCACCATTGAGTATGGACAGTGGTCATTTCACGACATCAGACTTTCAGACTCCGCCTGGTTCCCCTGTACCAAGGCCAGCATCCGCTCTTAGTGATTTTTCCCAGAGTTCATTTGGAGCACCGTGGCTCGAACACAGCCCATTACGGAATAACAGATTTGAAATTCTCCAGAACCGAAGTCTTTCTTATGAGGAACAGATATCACTTGGAGCTGGATCTACGCCGTGCATGTCCGAACATCTAGGCTCAAACCCGTCCTCGCCATACCGACACAAAATCCCAAGGTGTCGCTCTCAGCCGTGTGTTCTCCATGATAGACGTTACGCCAAGAAACGGCGACGTGAAGATTGCAGACCAACCCTTAATTTTCAAAAAATGACTGAGGTTAGTAGTAATATTCAGAATCTGCTTGTTTTTATTTTCCTGGGAGGGGCGGTCTGGTAGCCTAGTGGTTAAAGCGTTCGCTCGTCACCCCGAAGACCCGGGTTCCAATACCGACATGGGTACAATGTGTGAAGCCCATTTCTGGTGTCCCCCACTGTGATATTGCTGGAATATTGCTAAAAGAGCCGTAAAACCATACTCACTCACTATTTTCCTTGATTTCCTTTATTGATAATTATTTCCTCTACCTGCATCTATTCTAGATATTTGTGTTACAAATGTAAAGATTTAACGGGTAGGTCAGGTGAATGTGAACTAAGTAGAGACAATTTGTGGATAACAACTTCTTTATTTACTGTGAAGGCGACGTTTCGGTATATATCCTTAAACCGTTGTCAAACAAGACTGTTGATGGTGTTGATTGCCACATCTCCATGTTGATGATGGATGAATTGTGTGACAGGCATTACTCAAAAGTTGACGGATTACAAAGTAGACACAATTTATGGAGAACAACTTCTTTATTTCCTGTGAAGGCGATGTTTCGGTAAAGATCCTTACAACCCACCCCTTTCAGTGACCGAATTAACTGCCTGCCCGCCTGCCCGTGGCTGGTAACTTTTCTGTCGGGCTGCGTGAAATTTTACTCCCCCTGCCTGACTGTCTGGCAGATAATTTTTGAGACTACTTATATTTTCAGTTTTATTATGACCAAACATATGCAAAAAGAAGGTCTTCACGAAGGGGAGCATAATTGGTACCCATGGGGATGCCTACTTCTTGTCTAAATATCTTGCCCTCAAATTGTACATGGGGTGGTCGGGTAGCCACGTGGTTAAAGCGTTCGCTCGTCACGCTGAAGATCCGGGTTCGATTCCCGACATGGGTACAATGTGTGACATTGCTGGAATATTGCTAAAAGCGGCGGTTAACCATACTCACTCACTCACTCACTCACTCACTCACTCACTCACTCACTCACTCAAATTGTACATAGATGTTATCAGTGAAGATGTCCAGCTTTTTATATATTGTTTTGTCATTGAGTTTCAGATGGCATTTGCTTTCATTTTTGAAAAAGTGTACTTGACCTTTGAAGATAGAGATGTAACTATCATCTATGGTCATAGAATTTAGTAACAGATGCCCGATAAGTTGTGACGTTTGTCTTGGAGGATAGAGATATTTAAAGTTGAAAAAATTCCGCCTCAGCTGGCTCAGTCACTATGGCCAAGGGTATGGATGTCAGCACAACTATAGAGTTATAGCTGACTCAGTAAAAAAAGAAAAAGAAGATTACTCCCATCCCACACTATATCTCTCACCTGACATGCTCAAAAAACTTTTGACAAGATTTATTCATATGTTAACCAGAAAGAATATTTTAAAGGACAAAATATTGCAGGTCCTTTGAAGCATGACAGGCTATATGAAGTATACAGACCCACCAAGATTGTTGTTGAGCAACACCAGTCACAACTATACAGGTTATCCTTGCATGTAATGTTAGGAGAAATGGCACAAATGTTGTGTAAATGGAAGGTCCATCTGCCTCTGATTATGTTGAGTTGAAAAAAACACATTTACGGATACAGAACATGTGTCTCTATTTTCCTCGTGAAATAAAAGTTCATGTTGCCACTGAAAACATCTATCTTTTTGTCTACAACCTTTTCCCTTAAGAAAATATTTTCATTGCGCCACCGATAAACCCGCTCCTTGTGTCCCCTTTCCACTTACTCTTTTCTTCTCTTTCCTTTTCCTTGCGTATCCACCCTTCATCCTCCTCACGTCCGCCGACCCACAACCCCTCCCTCCATCCTGTTGCTTGGTCTGTCAACACCATCCCCGTGCCCGTGGGTTTGCACCAATGCATCACTTTACCATATAAAGTTGACATGACCTGATATAACTGGACTACTGTTACCCCCACCTCATCCCTCTTACCCTCAACCCCCTCAACCACTCCCAACTCTCAGACCCCCTCCCCCCTCCACATCTTCCTCAACCTCCTACCTCCTCCGACTCTTCCTCCTCCACCTCTTCCTCCCAACCCCCTCCCTCCTCCCACCTCCACCTCTTCTTCCCCAACCCCTACCTCCTCCACCTCTTTCTCCCCAACCTCCTCTACCTCTTCCTCCCAACCCCCTCCATCTCTTCTTCCCCAACCCCCTCCCTCCTCCACCTCTTCTTCCCCAACCCCTTCCCTCCTCCCACCTCCACCTCTTCTTCCCCAACCCCTACCTCCTCCACCTCTTCCTCCCCAACCTCCTACCTCCTCCACCTTTCTCCCCAACCTCCTCCACCTCTTCCTCCCAACCCCCTCCCTCCTCCATCTCTTCTTCCCCAACCCCCTCCCTCCTCCCACCTCCACCTCTTCTTCCCTAACCCCTACCTCCTCCACCTCTTCTTCCCCAACCCCTACCTCCTCCACTTCTTCCTCTCCAACCCCACAACCCCCTCCCTCCTCCACCTCATCTTCCCCAACCCTTAACCTCCTCCCTCCTCCACCTCTTCCTCTCCAACCCCCTCCCTCCTCCACCTCTTCCTCCACAACCCCACAACCCCCTCCCTCCTCCACCTCTTCCTCTCCAGCCCTACAACCCCCTCCCTCCACCTCATCTTCCCCAACCCTTAACCTCCTCCACCTCTTCCTCTCCAACCCCCTCTCTCCTCCACCTCTTCCTCTCCAACCCCCTCTCTCCTCCACCTCTTCCTCTCCAACCCCCTCTCTCCTCCACCTCTTCCTCCCCAACCCCCTTCCACCTCCACCTCTTCCTCCACAACCCCACAACCCCCTCCCTCCTCCACCTCTTCCTCCACAACCCCAAAACCCACTCCCTCCTCCACCTCATCTTACCCAACCCTTAACCCCCTCCCTCTCCACCTCTTCCTCCCAAACCCCACAACCCCCTCCCACCTCCACCTCTTCCTCCCCAACCCCACAACCCCCTCCCTCCTCCACCTCTTCCTCCCCAACCCTCAACCCCCTCCCTCCTCCACCTCTTCCTCTCCAACCCCCTCCCTCCTCCACCTCTTCCTCCCCAACCCCCTCCCACCTCCACCTCTTCCTCCCCAACCCCACAACCCCCTCCCTCCTCCACAGCTTCCTCCCCAACCCACAACCCCCTCCCTCCACCTCTTCCTCCCCAACCCTCAACCCCCTCCCTCCTCCACCTCCCCAACCCCACAACCCCTCCCTCCTCCTCCTCTCCCTCTTCCCCTCGCCCCTCCTTCTTCCCCTCACCTCTGCTGATGACATTCAGTGCAGCATGTTCATGCACTGACTGGAGGCTTGTCTTGTTATGTAACTTAAGTTTCCAGCCATGAGGATGAGTCACTATCGGTCTTCACATGTTCCGCCCACACATGACTGTGATGTACCTGCTGGGTATGCATACAATGGCAGTGAAATTAAGGGGTACTGGAGTCTTTAAGGTTTCTCATGTGGGGACGCCCCCTTTTACTTGCCACTCCTTGTAAACTTGATTTGTAAATTGATCATTGTTCGCGTCTTGACATGGAATTCTGTTTGATATAGATTAACAGTTTTTCTGTTCTTTAGATCCTTCAAGTACAAGCATTTTACAGGTTGAAGGCAATAATTTATTTTCGTGTAGATATTTCAGTGTAATCTTTCAACAATTGTATCCTAGTTATAGACACAGTATGGAAGTCACTGCCTAAATGTCATTGTGGGAGTCGGGGTAGCCCAGTAGGTAAAGTGTTTGGTCGTCCAGGTGAACAACAAGGTTTGACTCTCCATTAAGGTACAATGTGTAAAGCCTTTTCTAGGTACTTCAGAGGCAGAGCATGGGTTGTCTAAGTCGCGGCAATTTGTGTGCAGATTTGCATCCCATGACTGTGGGTTCGAATCCCATTTCTTGCTGGTTATGTTTCTAGGTGTGTCTGCACCATACCCTTGCTCGCAGATTTCACCAAACTGATAAATGTCTAACACCTACATCACTTCAAATTTCGCTCCTACATATTGCGGACCTGCTGTTATATAAGTGACATACTGTTCAAAGCGATGTGGGGGCAGTCCGGTAGCCTGGCGGTTAAAGTGTTCACTCATTACGCCGAGGATCTGTTTCCACGGCAAAGTCTGATTAATAGATTAAAGAGGCTATGAGTGGAACTTTAATGTATAGTCAATGAATGAGAGGTCTTGTCAGTAGTTATGAAAGGGTAACGGATCTTGTCTGACACACTAAATACAGGCATTGTGTATAAATGAACTCTGCTGCAGTGCCACTTGTAGCTTAGACATGTATACTCTTATGAGGTCATGTCACATGGGACTTGGGAGCGCTAAGCAGTGAGCCCTGAGCAGCTCCTGGGAGCCCTGGGTAGCTCCTACGAGCCTTGTGCAGCTCCTACATGCCCTGTGCAGCTCCTGGGAGCCATGAGGAGCTCTTGGGAGCCCTGAGCAGCTCCTACGAGCCTTGTGCCGCTCCTGGGAACCATGAGGAGCTCTGGGAGCCCTGGGCAGCTCCTATGAGCCTTGTGCAGCTCCTACACGCCCTGTGCAGCTCATGGGAGCCATGAGGAGCTCTTGGGAGCCCTGAGCAGCTCCTACGAGCCTTGTGTCGCTCCTGGGAGCCATGAGGAGCTCTTGGGAGCCCTGAGCAGCTCCTACGAGCCTTGTGCCGCTCCTGGGAGCCATGAGGAGCTCTTGGGAGCCTTGTGCCGCTCCTGGGAACCATGAGGAGCTCTTGGGAGCCCTGAGCAGCTCCTACAAGCTCTGTGCAGCTACTGGGCCAGACTCCCCAATGTACCATGTTGTCCTTTAGTCAAGAAGTAGCCTTAGTTAGGTTTCTTTAATAGGTCTTCAGCAACCCATGCTTGTTGTAAAAGGCGACTCTGCTTGTCATAAGAGGTGACTAACGGGATCAGGTGGTCAGGCTTGCTGACTTGGTTGATGCATGTCATCAATCCCAACTGCGTGGATTGATGTGCATGACGTCAATCACTGGATTCTCTGGTCCAGACTCGAT